GTGCCATCTCCTATATAAAGGAGGACTTATGAAATTACTATTATACCCTTAAAAATTTCCATAATTACCATTTAATATAACACTAAAATTTTTCATTTAAGTCATTGAACTTTTAACTTGTTTTAAAATTGAGCACAAAGTTTCCAAAAATTACTTTTTAGCCACTAACTCTGATTTGGGATGTTATAAACTCATAAACGATCTTCCGAGTAAAATTTCAGAAGAACTATTTGATCAATCATCCTTCGTATCGATGACGTAGAAGTCGGCTAGAAATACCAAATTATTTACTTTTACAAGAACATTTTCCAACACTACTTCTAGATATACTACCAAATTGTCAGTGAGTTAAATTATCATCCTAGTCTCTTTCAAAGGACATGTGTTAAGCAACTTAAAAATAGATAAAGACATAACGTTAATTGAAGCTCCTAAATCACACATGGCCCTTTTAATACCAACCTTACCAATTTTGCAAGGAATTACGAACATATCTTAGTCCTTGAATTTAGGTGGGATTTTCATTGAATAACAATATAAACACTCACATAAATTTACTTTTTCGTTTAGTGAGCTTACTCTTGTTAGTAAAAGAGATCTTTCAAAAATCTTGCAAGCCTTGAAACTCTCTTTTTATTACGTTGAGGAATGAAATGTTGACTTTAACTTTTCAAAAAAACGTTAAGAATCTCCTTTCCTTCGGCCTCCTTATTGTATTTGGCGAGTCTTCTTGGAAATGGGGGAGGTGCGATATATGGAGATGGAATAGGTGGTTCAACCAACGATTTCAGTTCTTTCTTTTCTTTCTTAGAATTTGTGCCAATATCTTTTTGGGATCCAAATTCAATGAAAACTCAGCTACGTGGGGTTATAGCACATGCACTCTGTCTCTGATTTGGTTATGTTTGAGACAAAACTTTTTTCTGAGATTCCAAATGACTCATAGCTAATGTAAGTTAACTCATATGTTTGTCGGTTTCTTAAAAATGTGCTTCATTATTTTGTTGGAATTTCTCTTAGAAAAGTGCAAATCTTTCCACTATTGACTCCAAAGATGAATTATGTTGTTGATATTGTTGAGGCGTAAGTGGTCGCGATTGATAAGGTTGATTGTATATGGGATTTGAACAATAATTAAGATTTGGGTGGTCCCTTCAAATGGCATTGTATGTATTTGAATGAGGTTCATAACACTTTTTGGAGGTCTAGGTAACGATATTTACATTTTTCGTATTGTCTACATGAATAGTTAGATAACAGTCTGTAGAATGATTTGGCATAGTACATATTTCACATAAATGAATAGGACATGTTTTACCTTTAAGAAGAGTTTAAACCATATTAGTAAGCTTATCAATCTTATCTTCAATGGAATAAGTACTTATCGCGTGAATCCATTTAGTGGGTTCATCAGACGAGCGGAATTGCTAACCGTTAGCTGCCATAGTCGAAATTAAATCCCTAGTCGCATATGGGGTCATGTTTACAAGGGCTCCTCCACTTGTTGTGCTGACCATTTTCATATCCATGGGAAGTAGTCCTTTATAGAAATATTGTAGGAGAGTTTTTTCTGACAAGTCGTGTTGTGGGCAGCTTGCACATAACTTTTTAAAGTGTTCCCAATAATCGTATAATGATTCATTATCTTTTATTGAAACCCTATAATATTTCTCCTTAGTTCGCTCGCTCTAACTTTAGGGAAAATCCTTTTAAGGAATAAACGAGACATATCAGCCCATGTATCAATAGAATCATGAGGTAAATAAAATAACCAATCTTTCACCGAATTAGCTAAGGAAAAAGGAAAAGCATAGAGTTTTATTTGGTTTCGGATAATCCCTGTGGTTTCGTACTCAAACAAACCATATGAAATTCTTTCATATGTTTAAGCGTGTTCTTGTTTTGAAAACTGTGAAAGGTCAATAGAAGATGGATCAACCCCATTTTTAATTCGAACGACATTTCTCCATTCGAAAATGTGATGCAAAGTGACTGTTATTCATTAGGTGCCACATCTAGCTCTCGGATTGTTGGATCAACCATATGTATAAATTTCTCTTCGTCGAATGTGAATAAAGCTTCAATGTAAGAGATTTCTCCTAAGTTTGGATCGTGTTTCGGTTAACGTTGTTGTTGTCTCCTTTGTCAAAGTTTCTCCACATTATATCTGGGCAAGTGCTTCGATTTCACGTTCGTAATTATTATTTCTCCCAGATGCGACTTGGTCATAGATCAAAACAAGAAACAATTAGTAACTTTCTCGAGTTCCCTGGCAACAATGTCAATTTGACAAGCGTTGAATTTTCCAAATAAATAAATATTATAATCTCAAAACAAATAATAAAGATAGTATAGAGAAATTGTGGTTGATCCATAGGGACTAAGGAAGTCTAAATAATTTGTTTGTTTCAATCCTTGAGTTTTAACTACAAAAGTAAAAATGGTAGATTAAAAATAATAAAAGTAATAAAACAATAATTAATAAATAATAAATAGAAAATGGTGAGAAAATAAATACAATAAACAAAGTAGAAGAATCGAATAAAGATGATATAGCCTTAGGCTTTTCTTAGCTTCAATTTTGGTTGAATATTGAAATAGAATTTTCCCTTCATGACGCATGTCAGTTACAGTCAACGAAGCCCAACCTTCGCAACTAACTCTTCTCTCGGGTTAACCGAAATTTCCAAGCCTGTTTCTGAAATTTGGTCTTTTCTGGACTAATCACGTATATCGTCATTAGCACCAAGACAACTTTGAATACTAGAAGAGCCTGACTCGGGTTATAACATCTTTTTGAGAATCGAACCCAATCTTAATTCCTCTTAACAGACTGCCACTAAGTTTGTTCACATGAAGCTGAATTATGACCAATCGATCAGTCTTCCCAACCGTAAGTCAAAACAACCTTCAAGCCAACGACGCCTTTTTAGATTTAAGATGTAGTAACTTTAAAGGAATGAGCGATTGCAACTCTTAGTTTCCAAACAACTGAATAATGTTGTTTGAAGTTATGAAGAACAATATTCAATTTTCACAATTATAATTGAACTTCGCGAAGCCTTTGGCTAAGTGAAAGCTTAGCTAAGCATAGATTGGGTCATGTTTAGCATCATGAAAAGAAAATAATGAAAGAAAAGAGGAGATGAAAAAAAATAGAACTTCAATAATTAACCAAGAAAAAATAAATTCTAATTTGTTTTTTATTTGTTGAATTTAAGGGGTATTTATATTTCGAGAGTTCTAAGTAAATAAAATAACTAATTACTAAATAAAATATAATGATATAATCAAACTAAAATTCCTACCGAGAGTTCTAAGTAAATAACTAATTCTTAAATAAATAATTCAGGCTCACTCTAACTTCTTCTCCTCCACTATTGATAAAGCTTTTTTCTTGAAATCATGAAGTGAGCCTTATTTCCTTTCTCTCCCAGATTTGATTCTTGATTCTTGATGTCAATAATATGATGAAGACTCTGATTTTTTTATACTTTTCAACTTCATTATGCTCCTCCATTGTTGAAGTTGAATTTAGAGATGTGGAAGTTTTTTTTTCTCTTTTGAGGAAACAAAAAGTTAACTTTGAACATTAAATTGTAGTTCAATTAAAGCAAAGAAAGATATAGCCTTTGGTATTTTTTCACTATTTTTTCCTGTTGTTGAGCATGGACGAAACATAAGAAGGATTAGGGGGAGTCATGGCCCCCCAAAAATTTTAAAAATTATAATTTAGACTCTTAAAATTTTCAAAAATTTAATTTGGCCCTATCAAAATTTTTAAAATCTATATTAAATTTTAAAATTTTTAATGTTTTTAACTAAACCCCCATAGTATTTAAAAATTCTCATTAAGCCTCTCAAAATTTCAAAAATTTTAGTTAGACCCTAATTTTTTAGGGGAAAATGTAAACTAAACCCTTAAAAAATTTAATTTAAACATTCAAATTTTTTAAAATTTTGAGTTGACCCCAAACTATTTCATCAAGTTCGCCACTGTTGTTGAGAGAATAATTGAAGTATTTTTGTAGTCATTTACTCGACCTTTTCAACAATATTCAAAGTTCACCCAAAATAGATGGTATTATTTGTTGTTGATAGAATTTGCATTTTGAGGATTAAATTTGTGTTGGAATTATTATTTTGGTAATGAGATTAAATGAACAAGATTTATAAATTTAGAGAATTATATTAGCTGAATTAGTTTGATTTAAAATTAGTTTAAGTAATAAGAATTAAATGTGTTATTATATAAATTTGTTTAACTGTAACATCGTTAATTTTATTAACTATTAATAGTCGGTGACCTGATTGAAACCAATCTGAAAATTTATTGATCTAAATTCCTTGATCATGATAGAATGAATCATATAATTTTGTTACTATAGAAGTAGTTTAGCAAAATAAAAAGGGCTTATCTAAGAAAGTACCTAAAGTATACCATATTTTTCATTTAAGTACCTGAAGTTTTTTGGGTCAAAATAAGTACCTAAAGTTATCTTTTTGGTCAAAATAGGCAGAGCGGTATTAGGAATTTATTATAGCGGGAATAAAATATTTTTTTATTTTTCATAAATACAATTTCTTTTAATTAAGGGGTCTGATAAATTTTTCTTTATTTATTTTTTAAAAATATATATTTTTCTATATTAATTAATAATTAAAAATATAATTGGCGGGGACCAATGCTCTCTTGTCCCCTTGGTTCCGCCCCAGAAAATAGGTACTAAGGTATTCAATTTTTCATCTAAGTACTTAAAACATTCTTTAATTAATGTCACGTATAAATTTTTTTTAGATCTTAAATGAAAATTTTTAATTAGTTTAGGTACTTATTTTGATATAATTTATTTTAGGTACATATTTTGATCAAAAAGATAATTTTAAATATTTATTTTGATTAAAAATTATATTAGATACTTAAATGAAAAAGAGAATATACTTTAATTACTTATTTGTGATATAAGTCTTTGTTTACAATTTAGCGTATCCCACAGGGCTGAATGCGTCTATTTGGAATTGGAATTGGAATTTTGAAATATTAACAACTTGAAGAAAGAGGGGTTTAGGGTTCGCCAACAGCAGCAATGGAGGGATTGCAGAATTTCGTCAGCTCCGTCTCCAAGAACCCAAAATCAGGATCTCCTTCTTTCTTGCCGGACCTCCCATACAACCTACGCGGCGGAGACGGATTAGCTGCCTCTTCCTCCGCCTTATATTCTTCCGATAGCGCTGGTGTTTTCTTCAACAGGCCTCCCAGGTATCTTTCCCTCATTCAATCGACTTTACCTCCAATTACAGTGTTCTTCTTTCAAGTTGCAGGAGATTTGTATCGCTTTGGACCTGTTCGAAGCTCTGTGGAGTTTGCTTTGTTGCTGGGATCATCGTCGGCTACACTCTCAAACGACGTGCGCGGCGCTGGGCTTCCAAGCTTCTCAAACGATTAAAAGACGATTAGTGACATTATTAACTCCTTTTCAATTCCTGTTAGATTTCGTTTTATGAAAATGGTAATAGTTTGCTTTTGCAAAGGGCATTCGTCACCCCCCCTTTTCTTATTTTTATCCCCTGGAATTAAAATTCTATTTTATTGATGTTGGATTCAAGCATTGGATATCTGGAGAAAATGCCTGCCGTGATTTTTTTTTATATAACCATCCGTATTCGATCTATCATCGACTAATCTGGATTGAATATTGTAATGATCTTTTCAATGGTGAGTTATAGGCGTAATCTAAGTAGAGATTAATATGGTTGAGTAATGTTATTAACGAGAATTTCCATAAGAAGTGTTTTGAAAATTGGATTGGATCGGTCTGTTCAATCGGGAATCGTTGTCTAGTTCGGTTTAATCTATACCGTTGAATTGTTACTAGTAAACCGGTCGGAATCGTTGAACCGTTCAAATTGAATCGGTTGAAAATCGGAAAAAATTATCAAATTTTTTTTTTTTTAAATTAAACCAAACGACGTCGTTTGTTAAACGAGCCAAGTCGAACTCGAGTATTGCTAAGCTCGACTCGAACTTGAAAACTTTAAAAGTAAACTCGACTCAAACTCACGAGCTAAAAATTATTAAGTTCAACTCGAGCTCGAAATATAATATTGAAACTTGAACTCGAAAATGCTTGAACTCAAAAAAAAATTTAGAAGCTCGATTGAAGCCTAAAATTCGAGCTTGATTGAAGTAAAAGAATAGTTCACTCAATGCTCACTATGATTTTGAATGTCAAATTACCTCTATTATTTATAGAAATTAATTGGGATGCTCTTTATGTTTCTTAGTCATGTGAGATTGTTTTGTTATCATATTTTTACTCTTTAGACTTTCGGGATGCTCTTCTATGTTTCTTAGCCATGTGGGATTGTTTTTAAAAAAAAAAAGTAAACCAAACAATATCATTTTGTTATATTTTTTTAGCCCCAAATTTATTTTTTAATTATAGTTATATAAATATATTTATTATTTAATATGTTTTACCTTAAATATTATGTTGTAGTTAATTTGAATCATTTTGTTTCACTTGATTTTATGGTTTTTAACTTATATATGTTATAACTTGCTTTGAATATGACTTGTGATATAAAAAATTATTTTTTATTAAATAGTTTTGGTATTTTTATTTAATTTTTTAAATAATTATAACGTCGTCTGGTTCTTTCAACCGGTCGAACCGATTCGACCGATTAAACCAATGAACCGATAGCATGATCGGTTCGCTAATCGATCCGGTTCTGAAAACCATGATAAGAAGTGAGTCGTATATATATAAGGTCACCTTAAGATCAAGTTAAAATTAGGGTAAACTACACAAATGGTCATTGAAATTTGAGTAATTTTATTTTTTCATTGAACTTTCAAAAGTTACAATTTAATTATAACGTTATCGATTTGCAATAAAATGATCACTCGATATCACTTGACGTTAACAGATGTTATTAAGATAACGTATTACTAAGGTGAAGTGTTAAGTCAGCTGACTTGACTATCCAACAGTCAAAATAATGTCAAAAGCCATCAACATTGTCTTCTTCTTCTTCACCGCTTCATTCATAGCCATTCATCTCTCTGTCATCACTATTTTTCTTCTGCTACAACTTCATGGATAAAGGAAGCCAAGAAAGAATTTGAGCACTAAAATTCCAGATCCGTTGAACGAACAGAGTGGAACTTTTCGCTTTGAGAACTATGAATTATTCAATTATTTGAAGTTAATGCGGAGGTTTTGACTGTTTTGGTTTACTAGATATAAATGTTGTCAAATTCTTAACATTGATTTGTGTTGCAAGTTGTGGGTAGCATCCTGAAGTACCACCAACTCAATGATTCCTCGTCCTCATTTGCAATAGTTTAATGTTGAATATTATTATGTTTTTATGTTATACTTAATGGCATCAATTGACTGCATGCAGGAGTGGTGCTTGACGTACTCGGATCTGATGCAGGGAGTGGTGCTTGACGTACTCAATTGACTGCATGCAGGGAGTGGAGACCAATATGTTTTGAAAAGCAACCAATACGCTTTTATGATTTCTGGCTGGATGTGGAGCACTTTGAAGAAGCTTTTCAAAACATATTGGTCTGTCTAGAGAAGGTTGTATTTGCTGTTCTCCAGCAGCATGCATATCACGTTTACCCATATAGGGGAGATGTTGAAGCTAATCCCAAATAATTGAATAATTAGCTCAACGAATCTGAATTTTTAATGAGTTCAACAAACAATGTAACTTGGCAAGGAAAGGTAAATATTGTTTGAATGTCCAAAAAACATTTGAAGGTTATCTATGTGGGATGTTCTTGGAATGTTTGACAGTATTTACAGTTATAAGTTGCTGCGACAACAACTCAAACCTGGATGCTGAAAGAAGAAAGGGAAAATATATGTATGGGTAACAAATGGTATTGAGAGGAAAAGAATTAAAAAATTTCTTGTCTTTCTTTATCCATGAAGTTATAGCAGCAGAAAAACGGTGATGGCAGAGAGATGAATGGCTATGGATGAAGCGGCGAAGAAGAAGATGACAATGTTGATGGGTTTTGACCATTGGACAACCAGGTGACGTCTGATAACGTCAAGTGACATCTAGTGACCATTTTGTTATAAATTGATAACATTAATCACCAATTTGTAACTTTTAAAAGTTCAATGGAAAAACAAAAAAATTGCTCAAACTTTAATGAAAAAGATGGAGATGCTAGAGATCAAACCCCGTGCCTCTCGCATGAAAAATAAGTGCTCTACCATTTGAGTTACATCCCCAATGAAGATTCATGTTGCTTTTGCTTATACGTTTAAATCTCAACATTCAAATGACTAATTGACTATCAAACTAACTTCGATAAAGATTTAATTATTATGATCATAACATAAATGATTATATTTTAATTTGGATACAATATTTAATTTAGTATTTAAGTCTATTTATAATCCAATTTGATACCATAATAATATAAACATGTGTATTATCGACATCACCACTAAAACTGTATAAATATAGTGTGAACTGTTGATATTACTTTTTTTTATCGTCACTAAAACTGTATACATGTAATATCAATTGTGGGTATTATTTTTTAATCACCAATAAGACTACACCATTGTATAATATTTGAGTGCCGCAATGGCAACTATTTGATACATATATTATCTTTAACAGTATTCACCACTAAAGCCAACTAAGCATTATATGTTTACGCCACTAAAGCAAACATTTACTATACTCGCGTCACTGAAGTCATGATGTTAGAAGATAAAGAAGCCCTAATGCATCATCCAACTTTTTCGGAAGATTCCAATGTCGCCCGCCACCCGATCTCGCCATCATCTGATGATGGCTGGTTCGTGAAGAAGCCCCGATGTGTTGGCCTTAAGCCACCGAATGAGGGTGTTAGTACGATGGAAGCGGATGCCAATCTTGAGAAGCCGATGAACCTTGATCATTCGGAATCTCCCGCGTTGTATGAGACACCACCCATGAGTAATCCTACTGTTATGGAAGGCGTTGAGAACAACTCTCCCAGGTAGTGTCTACCTCCCCTACGAACCCGTCCTACAAAGAGACATTAATGGGTGGCAACCCCACAGTTCCTGAACCCGATGAATCCATCTTTGATGAGGAAGAAATAGATTTACTAGATGGAGACGTCACCCGTACTATTATCGATGATGTTATCTCCATTGAATTTTCCAACCATGTTCAAGAATTGGTCGAGAAGAGTTTCGATCAAACGGTTGTCGTCAAGCTCTTGGGAAGGAGAATATGATACACTACTCTTCGACACAAGATTTATGATCTATGGAAGCCGTCTCAGAAAGTTTGTGTCATGGATATCAAAAACGATTACTTCCTGATTACCTTTCGCACTCACTCAGACTACCTGAAAGCCCTTGCTGATGGACCATGGATGATTTTCGGACAATATCTGATTGTCAAACCATTGACTGCTAACTTTTCGCCATCTCAAGCTCACCCACTAAGAATAATTACAAATGCAGTTTAATAACGAAGATAGGTGAGTGCATTGGACCCGTTATAAAGCTTGATTACCAAACCAAATGCGGTTATCGGGGGCACTTTGCTCGTATGGTCATTGCTATTAATCTGAGTAAGCCCCTCGTCTCGAAAATTCTCATCATTGGCAGACTTCAACTTGTTGAGTATGAGGAACTTCCCACGATTTGTTTCGAATGCGAAAGATATGGCCACGTCGCAGATATTTGCCCCTCAAAAAGTGTTCAACCTACTCCACCATCGCAACATGTCCCTTCTGCCCCGACTACGAACCTAGAAATTTTAAGTTTGGCCCTGAATGATAGTTGAGAGAAAAAATGCATAATCCTTCCAAACCAGTCGCTCTAACACATCCATGAAGCCTAACCTTCTAAGTGGTTTTTGTTTTAACCCCATCTATGAGGCGACCGAAGATGTCAGTAATGATTCATCTCCCCAACAACACCTCACCGAGTCCCCCAGCCCGGTTGCAGCCCCTAAAGCACCGATCATGGATAAGGGCAGAGCCCCGGCTGCTCCAAAAGCTCCTAAGTTAACGAAAACAATATCGGTCAGAAAACCTCTATCACTCAACATGCAACCCTTGTCTTTTAAGGGTTCCTTGACACCTACAGCTCGTCCAACGACCACCTCTCAACCCCCTAGAGACACATAAAAATTGAAACCTGCCTCTACACTTGACCAAAAAAAATATACTATTATTAACATCCAAGAAAATGCAGACCCAAACATTCTACCTCAAGGTACTATCCCGGTCGTCCCTGGTGATCCTCCTAATGCTAGAGCCAAAGCTGGGCAACATGTGTGCTCATCACCCCCTTAAGTAGTGATAACCATGGCATTGTGGCTATATTCCAGCGTGCATCCGAGCGGGACCTCTCGAACTCTTATGATGAAACTCGGGTGGCAATGGTTTTTGAGTGAATTTGGGTATGTTCTCCCCTCTCATTATTATTTCTGATGATGAAGTTTCTTGTTTGGAATGATTAGGGTTATAGAGACCCTAAATTTATTAAGGTCGCTAAATAGTATATTCACGATTATAAGCCGAATGTTATGGGTTTTGTTGAGCCGAGGATAAGCAAGGTTAAGTCTGATTCTGTTATTGCTAAA